CGTATAATGATATTTTTATTTTTATTGTACATCTATATTATAATTTGGCATGATGTTCATTCTTAAATAAATATATAAATATATTGCGTAGTTTTTCTTTTTAAGGTATTGAAATTGCAATTTTATTGGTATAAAAAATGCATTAAAAATAAAAAAGAAATTACTTTTTTTTGGTAAAAACACCCAAAAACTGGGTTTTACCGGGTTTTTCGGGTTTCTTGGGTCCGGGTCTTGACCGGGTTTTTCCGGGTCAGCCGAGTTTTTCCGGTTTTTAACCATTTCCGGGTTTTGAAAAAACCGAACCGGTTTTTTGTCCGGGTCACCGGGTTCCGGGCCGGGTCGGTTTTTTAAACATAGTAATGTTACTGCATTTTTTTGGATTTTCGTTTACTGCATTACTAATTACTTTTTTATTTTTTTTATTTATCCTTTTTTTAATATGTGTCTCTTTGTTGGCATAAACAGTTTATATATGACAGGCACGTGGAATAACCTCCAAGCAATTTGCTTTGGGTTTTCAATTTTGTGGGCTAACACCAGCCTGTATTATTTAAAGTGTTTTTATTGTTGTGGTCTTGTGGAGGCCCAAAGCCCGCATGGCTGAACGGTTGAGACGGCAGACTTGGTTGACTTGGTTTCCTTTTATAGTTGACTTGGTTTCCCATTTTATATTGGGAAATTGGAAACTAATAATCCAATCTTTTGGCGGTCTTCTTTCAATAATCCCACCTTTTGATTATTCATGAATAATCCAACCTTTGCACCTCATCTTCATTCATTGGTCTCTGGTCGGGTAATGACCTACTATTCCAAGTTATTTTCTTACCTTTGCAAAATATTATCTTTGTGAAAGATGAGATTTATGGTATAATGATTTGAAAAGATAAGAAAATAGCTTGGAATAGCAGGTCATCAACTGGTCAGGGACCAGTGAATGAAGATGGGGTGCAAAGGTTGGATTATTCATGAATAACCAAAAGGTTGGATTATTGTAAGAAGACCGCTAAAAGGTTGGGTTATTAGTTTCCATTTTCCCTTTTATATTAGTATAGATTAGGATATTTTTGAAATAAATAACTAAAACTGAAAAGGCGAAAGTCTATAAATGAAAACTAAACAATTCGGGAACATAAATGAAATTCAGTTAGATAAAGTGGATCTAACGGGATATTTCCACTTGTTATATTGGGTTGTGGGCCGGGATTCATAACCCCATTGTCTAGTTGAGCCCCTCGCAGCGGAGCCCATTATGAATTCTATTGTATTGTAATTTGAATGGTGACATCTTTCTCAATCGTCATATACGGAGGAGTACGTATTAGACTTTTTTTTATTTATGTAATATTTTAAATAAGAAATATACTAGTAATTATTTAAAGTAGAGTTTTTTACCTTAAATAGGACTAAATTATTGTGTAAATTCCCAAATAGGAGTATATATATTTTTACTCCTGAATAGAACTAATATTCCAAAGTTACCCCTGCATCGGTTTCCGCGCATGAGGTTATATCCACGCATCACTTCTCTTGATGGCAGATTACTTTTTCTTCTTTGATTTATTAAATTTTCTCTGCGCATCAATTGTCTCTTCTACAACAGCACAACCTGCTCATCTTCTCCAACCTACTCAATAATCTACTTCGGCTGAAACCTGCAACGAGTTTCAAGAAGGGGCAAGCAACTACGACGGCCATCAACTGGCAGCGAAACCAGATGCCAGCAGGGGCGAGCAGAGAGGGACAAATACAATCCAGATCTGTTGCCATGGAATGAAGCTCAACTCCCCCTCCTTCCTTCGATCTCCTCCTCTACTGTTTTTCTCTCTATCTCTCTTCTGTTTTTTGTCGCAGGTCCGACGCTTGGCCAATATCTTCTTTGTTTGTTAAGATTGCCAAATTCAATCTGAAAATGCCATAAAAATGGCATTCTTACGCTTTGAAGAATTTGTGTTTACCTTCGGAAATGCCATTAAAATGGCATTCTCCATTCATGTTGGCATTCCAATAAAAATGTTGGCAACAGTGGTGGCGGTGGTCAGAGATGCAGCGGCGGAGGCTGGATCTACAACCGCGGCGGCCGGATTTGCAAGTTCAACAGTCGATGGCTGGAAGAGGCCAGATCTATTGCTCCGACGACCAGATCTGCAGCAGCGGTGGCCATATCTCAAACGACGACGACCAGATCTACAACGGTGGCCAAATTTGAGGTCACGATGGTGGCCGCGGTGGCCGGCGGCGGCCGGTGCCTGGCGGCAGCCGATGAGTGCAGCGGTCCGGCATTATATCTTGGCAGCATGTTATCAAGCTTCAAGGGCATGTATGTCCAACCACAAATAATAAATCCTACTTAGGGAATTTTGAAATAGTAGTCCTATTTTTGCAATTAATGTTTTATTTACTCCCATTTAGGGAATTCTCCCTTTAAAGTAAGACGCAGTCAAATTTAACTAACTAAAACAAGGTGGGGGAGTAATATATAACTTGGTATACCCTATAATCTATATGTAGTACTCCCTCCGTCCCTAAATAAACTTCCAACTTTCCTTTTTCGCCCGTCCCAATTAAAACTTTCACTTTCCCTTTTTGGCCAGAATTTGTGGTTCACAACAATTCTTACACATTTCTCTCTCCTTTGCACAACTCTCCACCACACAATACCCACTATCTTAAACTGTGTGTCAAACCTATTTGGAAGTTTTATTAGGAACGGAGGGAGTATATATAGTATAGGGGGGATTGCACTTTTTTTTTATGCATTTATAGTATAGTAGTAGTCTTTTCTACTGATAGTTAGTAGTAGTTATAAAGAGCTACGGAGTAAATAGCAAGATTTAAGAATTAAGATATACTGAGAGCATCTTCAATGCTAAAACGTTAACAGTGCATATGTGGCATGAGAAATAACCAATTAAAAAATAACAAATAAAACATCTCTCTCCTTATTCAAAGGGTCTTACATCATTTTGGTAAGTTTTCCTTCACAATGTCAAACACAATGTCTAGATGTAGACATTGTGATTGACATTGCAGACACAAACTTACCAAAAACACATATGACCGTGAAAAGAATGAGAGAGGAACGTCTTAAAATCAATATTTTGTGTCTATCTCTCTCATGCCACATGTGCAATGTGCACATTGTAGCATTGGAGATGCTCTGAGTAGCTAACTGTCTAGTTGTGTAAAATGTAATTTTTAAATAGCTACCAGTAGGTTTAAATATGTAACAATTAAACACTACAATAGTTAGTCATTAGTTATCAAAAAATCAATTAGACCTTTTTGAATAAAACACCATCCTCAACTCTGAGAAGTTCAAGTACAGACGTGTATAATAGTCCTTCTCAATGTGCTACTTCCATTCCTAGATAAGTTAATTTTGATAATCTTCCTTAAAGCACACAAAAGAAAAAAAATGAATATCATCCTAATCAAAGAGAAGAAAATCGGGTATGACTTTAATTTCTTAATTGCCATGAGTCCATGACTGAGATCAAATGCTCTTCTGCTATGGAAATAGTGAAACTAATTTGTTTTTTAGAATAGGTGATCAGTTTTTGTGTTTGCCTAATTTATTCAATAGAAAGATATGTATCTGAGAAACCAGTTGTGGTGCATTTGATTAGTTATTTTACACCCCTCGTCCCAAAAAGGTTCGTCAAATTGACTTTTCTTGATCAATCAATGACAATCAACTTTGACTAATGATATTTTTAATATGAAATTAATTTGAATATGAAAACAATATAAAGATGTACTTTATACAAAATGTTTTCATAAAACTATAAAATTTATAAATTATATACAAATATAATAATTAAAAACATTGTCCATAGTTTGTCATCATTAATCAAGAAAAGTTTATATGACGAACTTTTTCTGGACGGAGATAGTATTGTAATACGCTTTATTTAGTTTCAAAGTTACGTTCTCGTGTACTTTATTAAAAGTTTTTGCAATCCATATTAATATTAATTAATCTTTTTTATTTATGTACTTCATGTTTACTTTGCCCCCAATACTTTTATTTCCCGGATCCACCAATGTGTGTTGGGCATGGCCTCGGGTCGGGTACGGGTCGGGCCTAGGCCCGGCTGGGCTTTTTATGGTTGGGAGAAGGCCCAGGACCGGCTCGGGTATCCACCGGGTCCGGTTCAGGCCGGGCCTCGGGCCGGTTTATAATTTACTTATTTATTGCTTTAGTAACTACCCCCTGACCCCCACCCCCCCACCCCCTAAACCCCTCCAAAACATGCAGCCCGACCCGAGGGAAACCAAAAAAAATTGAAAAAACAAAAAAAAAAACACTTTGGCCCGAACCGGGCCCAGCCGGGCTAGGTCACCAATTTACATACCCGAGCCCGCCTCCCTTTACCCTCGGTAGGGATGGACTCGGGCCGGGCCAACCGGCCCGGAACCGGATCGGCCGCTACTGTGCGGGCCCAAACCGGCCCGGTGAACCAGTTCGTGCCCGGTTCGGGCCTCCCGGCCCGGTGGTAAAGCGGTACGGGCCCGGGCCTCCAGTTTAGTGAACCGGCCCGGCCCGGTCGGGCCCAGTTCGGACCGGAATTTATTTTTATTTTATTTTTTTTTGAAATTTTTTAAGTTTTGGTTTGGATTAGGTATTTTGGGCCATTTGAGGTGGTTTGGGGTGGAGAGGGAGGGATAGGGGGTTAAATAAGAGAAGAAGAAGAAAAAAAATTAAAAATCCAGGTGGCCCGACCCAGCCCGGTCTGGCCCGGAACCGGAACCGGAACCGCCCACCACCGGTTGGGCTCGGGCCTCATTTTTCTGAACCGAGGCCCGGCCGGGCCCAGGCCCGAACCGGGCCCGAACCGGAACCGGTCCACCCCTACCCACCGGTTCAAGTCCAATCCCGATACCGTACCGGTCCCGAGCCCACACAGTAGCGGGCCGGGCCGGGCAGCCCGAATCGGGTCCAAGCCTACTGTGTGTATGACATACTTATGCATGCAAGAGTTAAGAAATAAGAAGTCCTCAAGCACAAATTAAAATTTATTAAAAAGAACGTTATTGTACAAAAACGAATCAATCTCAATATACTCTCAATAAGTATATACGTAGTAATGTAGTATATGCCTAGCAAACGAGCTCAAAATATATCCATTAGCTTACACATTTTAATGTACAAAAAATGAATCTACGAGTTTTTGTGGTGCAAAAATTCGAAAGTGAAATACAGTGAGCAAGTCCATGGCTGCATGGTACATTTTGTTGGACAAAGATGATACAAGGTAACAGATTCGTCAAAGCACCAAACAATATTACTGTAAAAAAGAACAAAATTATCTAAGAAAATTGCCCATTCTGTTACTGTGTGAGCATGCATACATTTCATGTCTTCATAAGAACCAACTAGTGCTAATATTTCCGAGCCAAAAGAGAAGGGGGAACTGAGCCAAGGCAATGAAGAGGAGGAGATAATGATGCCGACTAGAATCATAAGTAAAGAGCACCCTCTTCATTGTCTTTACCAGAAATACCCCCATGCAGAGACCCGCCCATGGCATCAAAAAGTAGTACGAGTAGCTCGAGAAGATCTTTCCCAGGACAGCTATAGACAACCCCGCAAAGGAATATCCTGCATAAGCGACAATATCCAGCAAAGGTGCTTCTCCACTCCCAAGAGAGAAAAGTGTCATCTTCAGCAATGTAACTTGTAAAAACCACCCCACCAAACCCTTCATGAACAGCCAGTTTATTGCTTCTGGGCTAAACCTGGCAAAATGTAAGCCCATAAAAACAACATGAAAACAATGTGGCAAACCTCCTGAAAACAAAAAAAAACTAGGATCATAACTATTCGACCAAAGCGAGTTTTGTTGAAACTCGAGATTAAAAAGATGGGTTATCTCTCACTTTAGGATCTGAAATATGAAACTTATCAAATTTAAGACTATCAAACCAAGACTACAATAGTCCTGAACTTTATTCTTTTTAAATTTATACAAAAATGATAATCCATGAGAGAATTATTTTTTAAAATTGACAAGAATAATTAAAAATCACAATGGGATGTTCTTTTCCCATGAAAAACTTGTGCAATGTTTCCAAGGAAAATTTAATCCTTTTCTGCAGAAAATCAAAAATGATTTCAAGGAATGAGTAGCTCTATTTATAATACTATAATGTTTTCAGCTTTTCAGGAAGACAACTTCCCTTTTCAAATTGTGAAGTAATTTTTTACAGAAGTCTAAAGAAATGAACAAAATATTTTTCCTATGCCAAACGCAATCACTCCAGAAAAACGTTTTCTTTAGGGAAAATCAGATTTTTCATAGAAAGAATTTAATGATGGGGGAGGTTTGAACAACATATATATTACAACCAAACAGATTCAGAGTGGTATTCATGCATGAAAAGGCACCGGCTCACCTTCCCTGAAGACCCAATGATAAACCAGCAAGAACAACATAGGTGCCAAATGCCATAAAGGGTATGTACAAATCTGGAGCATTTATGTCATAAATTGGGGGCTTATAGGAAAGCCTGCCACCTACTGGCTCTGTGATTCTTGTCCAATGTCCCTATACAATCATTAGAAGAGGTAGTTGTTATTTCCAAAACCATGCTGCATCAACGACGAGCCAGGAGATTTAACAGAATCTTACCCTGTGCAGGAATGGGAAAAGTACAACTTTCAATTTGTTCCTCACATATTGGTCATTGACTTGGAAGTAGTATTGCGGATCAGAAAAGTATCTACTAATCTGCACATCAGTATACAAGTTACACAAAGAAATAATTGCACTTTGAAAAGTGACAGATAAAACAGAGACAAATCATATTCTCCAAACACCATCCACCAATATAGCGTAATAACGCTTCTGAATCAATTAAGCGAAATATTTAGGGGGGATTTGACTTTGCACCCCACTTTGTGGGTGATATTGGACTTTGCACCCCATTTTGAAAAAACTTTAATTTTGCACCCCAACACGTTACATTTTGTGAAGAAAAACTTATGAATGGGATGCAAAGTCAAAGGATTTTAAAGTGGAATGGGGTGCAAAGTCAAAGGATTTTTAAGTGGAATGGGGTGCAAAGTCAAAGGATTTTTAAGTGGAATGGGGTGCAAAGACAAAGTTTTTTAAAAATGGGGTGCAAAGTCTAATATCACCCCAAAAAATGGGGTGCAAAGTCAAATTCTCCCAATATTTAGCGGATCTATAAAAAGGGGCTGTAGAAATGTTTATGCACGACGAAGTCCCAAAGGTATATTTGTCATTATGAATGTTTTACTCTAATCAACAAAGGTATAATTGTACTCTGAGGACTAAATAGGATCTGAATTTAGTCGAAGCTGGTTTTAACTTGGACTACATTGGATGACCAAGTATCTTGAGTATTTTGGTTCTAAATACCACAAAGGATATGATTGTACAGTCAAGGCTAAATGGGGTCTAAGTTAATTAAATGGACAACAACCCTTCTTATTTAGAGCCAGATATGTGTGTGAGCAATTGATCTACATGTCATACTAGAGTACCAAAGGGAGTCCAGTTGACTCTTCCAAAAACACAAGATCTGGAATCTGGAGTAACTCATGTAATAATACTTGCATGAGTTGCATCTCAAATAGCACTGACAGAATAGGAAGTGGGGAACATTAAGGCATTGCTACAGAGACTATGCTGGAGAAAAGTGAGTGAAGGGGGGATTCCAGATGAAAACAGTGGTCCCTCACACCCTTCTTGCAAGATACTTACATTGCTTTGGACATATTCAGAACTTGAACCAAGAATTTTCTCTCCATAAGCACCCAACCCGCCTCTTATTAAACCAGACCCTGCGCCATAGAATGCATTCCCAAATGCATTTTGCTGCACATTAGTTGGTGGCCTGAGCACTCCAGGTTGCGCTCCGAGATTATCAAACATGTCTGTCATAGAAACGAATACGAATTATACAAGATATGATTGATATCTATTAAAATAGTTGGATAACAATAACGGTTCCATAAAAAATGCACCAGTTAGCACTTAGCATAATCAGAAAAAGTCTGCAAAAGTATACAAGAACAGAATACAATAGTGCATCAGCTAGCACTATTTTACATATAAAAAAAAGCATTATGCACTTAGTGCTAATAAGTCTGCAAAATACAAAATCAGCAGTTGAGCTGTTGCAAGAAGTCTGCAAATTCAGCAAAAACCAAAATAAGTCTGCACCGGTTTACATCCACACTCAACATAAGTCTTAACAGCCCAAATCAAATATGTCTAAATAGCTAGAATAAGTCTGCACTATGCAACATAAGTGATAGCAGCAAAGTTTAACAAATAATATTATTATGGGGGAATTTGATTTTGTGCCCCACTTTTTGGATATATTGGACTTTGCACCCTATTTTAAAAAACATTGATTTTGCACCCCATTTCAATTCAAAATCCTTTGACTTTGCACCATTTAGAAAATTTCCTTCACAAATGTTACTCCCTCCGTCCCATTCAAAGGTTCCCACTTTCCTTTTTTGGACGTCCCACTTAAAGGTTCCCATCTTTTATTTTAGGAAATAATTAAAACTCTTAAATAATAATTTAATCATCAAATATAAAAAATAATACATTTATAACATTACAATCATCATCAATAATTCATTATGTTACATACTCATCAAAATTATTTCTCAAAACATATTCGAATTAACATATTTGATTATTGTCTAAATAATCGTGCCATTTTATTATGGGAACCTTTGAACGGGATAGAGGTAGTATATGATAGGGTGCAAAGTCAAAGGTTTTTTAAATGGGGTGCAAAGTCCAATATCACCCAAAAAGTGGGGTGCAAAGTCAAATTCTCCCTATTATTTATCATTAGCAATAAACTAGTAATCTACCTAGAAATACTAAAATACAACTCAAGTTAGAAAAATCCAAAAACTGCCCACAACATTCATTCCCAATCCAGAGAATAATTAAATACAACAATGGTTTGTAATTGTGAAATGCAATACCGCCTTGAGGCGCTTTGGGCCCACTGGACTTACTTTTTACAAATAAACCGATCGAGGCGTACACAATATGCCTGGCAGCGATTCAGTTACTTTCTTCTGCCTTGTTCATCTGTCGCAAAAGGCTTTGCAGCGATCAGTCACTTCTACTGAACTCAGTTCTTCCTCTGCCTTCCTCTTATAGTCTTCTCAAGGCAACAAAGGGGGTTTCAGGCTTCTCAATGCAACTAAGGTTTCTTTAGTTTTTACTAAAGATATAGTATGGCCTGTATTATATATACTCCCTCTAAATAATCTTGACTAATGTTATCTTTGCATGTTTTTAATGCATCAAAGATTTTATTTTAGCTTATTCCATGTATGATCTTATTTTCATTTAATGTTCTTTGAATATTAATTTTCTTCAACTTTTATTTTGTTTATATTTATGCAAACACACACACACACAAATATATTTACGCCTCATACATACGCCTCATTGCGCAATGATGCTTAAGCAATATGCAATCCTAAATAAACGCCACAACTACGCAATATGCAATCCTAAATAAACGCCACTACTACGCAATACGCAATTTCAAGCCTTGAATACAACTCAAAGTTCTTCTAGCTAGATTCAAGAGAATGCTTATACCATGCAGTGTTATATATATATATATATATATATATATATATATATATACACACACTACTCCGTATCTCAGATTTAATTAAATGAAGACTCAATAAGCACTCAAAGTTCAATGCTTACACCACGTAGTGTGTTATAGCCAGATTCATTGAACACTGACTTTCATCAATTGTTGATGATAGCTCTATATATATAAAAGCTGGACCGCCTGGGATAACTATTCCCTCCTGACAATGATGACGACACTATGACATCATGACCATGTCATCACGGGATGATCTAACACGTACTCGCAGTTAATCTGCAGAATTTTGGCTCTCCTCCGTATTGTTTGGTCATTAAATTACGGCTTATTACAAGTCCTTAATTTAGAAAAGTATTCATCGTTTAACTGAAATAACAGATACAAACGAAGCTCAAAAACACCTTCTAAGCTTGATCTATTCACTGCTGAGATCTATTCACTGCTGACAATATATGAAAAGACACGTACGAACAAACAAAACAAGATGCGGTAAAATAAGAATACAGATAGTAATAATCGACTAACCTCGGGATACTAGACCGAACGGCGTGTTGTAGATTGCTTCCGACCTAAGGGGAAGAGGAGCTGGAAACGGCGAGAGCAATATAGCGTACGACCGACTGGCTGAGATGAGTCGGTTGAGAGAGATGCCGGATCGGATGAATTGGGCATGTGATTTTCTAATTGGACCGGATCAAACACTTTGGGCCACTAACTACTTTAAATCATGGGTATTGCTCGGCGCACCATTATTTGTACTTAATGTAACTCTAACTAGAGTATTTTATCCTTGTACAGTTTTGATGCAAGCTAAAACTCCGTCTAAAAGGAATTCACACGCACCCCCAATAAATTTTAGGGAAAATGGAAACTAATAATCCAACCTTTTAGCGGTCTTCTTTTAATAGTCTGACCTTTTCGTTATTCATGAATAATCCAACCTTTGCACCTCATCTTCATTCATTGGTCCCCGACCGATTGATGACATGCTATTCCGACTTATTTTCTTATCTCTGCAAACTATTATACCATAAATTCCACCTTTCACAAAGATAATATTTTCCAAAGATTAGAAAATAACTTGGAATAGTAGGTCATCAACCGGTCAGGGACCAGTGAATGAAGATGAGGTGCAAAGATTGGATTATTTATGAATAACGAAAAGGTGGGACTATTAAAAGAAGACCGCTAAAAGGTTGGATTATTAGTTTCCATTTCCCCTAAATTTTAATCAATTGAAAAATTGATCCATTATCCAATAGTCCAATACAAGTAGTTTCCAGCCATGTGGTAAAAAAAATACGGAGTACTATGTTTATTATACTCTATTTTTTTATCATCAAACAGACATCTATTCATATCAAAAGATTCAGGATCATTACATCAAGAAAGAGAAAATAAAACTGACACCAACTGAAACTCCAACAACTACGACTGTAATCCTATGGTGAGACTTTGAGACGGTCACCCCTGAAAGAGCAACACGAATCGTTAACCATGTAGTGGGCTTGACACAGCCAAATTTGTTCCCATAGATCTAACCATACCCAATGACATAAAGAGACGCTAAAAACTCAAACAAATTGTCAAAACCAACAACAAAGATGAACACAAGAAAATATATGACAAATAGATAAAAAATTACTAGGAAAACTTGCACGGACTCTAGCACCTCGTACAACCCATGGTGGTGGTTCAGGCGGAGGTCGGACCGTCGCTCGATTGATACCCTCTTTCAGTGGCGTACCTGCCTTATGACCCAAATCCAAGCCATCGAATGGAGCGTTCAGCCTCTCCACACTAACCATGTCCCGATCATCCCTACGTCTCTCTCGCTTCTTCCACCATCTTCTCGCTACCACGATCATCCATCCCGAGCTATGTCCAAACCATGAAAATCCGGTACAGTGCTGCGTCGATTGAAAGAAACGCCGCACCAGGGCGGCGAAGTAAAAATCCTACGCAAGAGATCTCGCTAGGGAAACACTGGACGAACTTTGATCAAGAAAGATCAAAATTGGAAATTACCTAGCGGCGGCTCTTCCCTAGGAGCTCTCTACTGCTTTTATTATACTCTAATTTTACAACATATACGATAGTATATCAGATCAAACAATTTTTGTTATTTTTCATGATATCAATATTACACATGCCAATTTTTTTAAAAAAATCATGATCATGTTTTTTTAATCTAGTTTGATGAAAGACTAGTAAATGTTTATTTCACTAAAGTACTTCCTCCTTCGCTTAAAATTTTCTCATATTTATTTTTGTTTTGTTCCAAAATTGTCTCTTTCCCTTTTAATAAATTAATTTGTGATTTCAATTTTTTTTCTTTCATTTGAGCAAACCTCAACTACATAGTTTTCCTATTATTCACCGTGTGCCGTTCAAATTTGACAAATGCTATGGAACAAATGGAGTTAATTTAGGAGACATTAAATTATGAGAAGTCACAATTGAAATTTTGAAGTATACACATTAATTTGACAGATATTCATTTATTGGGAAGAATTAAATACGTGTTATAAATAGATATAACAAGTTTATGCGCAACATAACTTGTTATATCAGAAGTTCATATTTGACTATACTAAAATCTTTCTTTTTAAAGAATTTTTGGTAATGGGGGGCAAAAGATGACATCTTAAGTGGAACTGAATGTTTAACTATACTCCGTATTAAATCATAGGTTGTTTTCTTGATATCCGCGTAGGATGAATCATAATCGTGCACTTAACAGGATTTTAGAATTTGATCTATGAAGTGAAATAAATAATACTCCCTCCGTCCCGTAAAGGTTGATCAAAGTTGACTTTCACGTGGATTAATAAAGTAAAAACTGTGCGGTTGAAATTTGTACAGAGGAGGGAGAATTAACTTTAGCCACATATTCCTTACTTTAAATGGAAATGGCTAATCTTTTGGGGACATCCAAAAAAAGAAATTTGACCGACCTTTTGGGGACAGAGGGAGCACGTAGTAATTCTATAAAGGCTAAAGGGTCAAATAGGTCCTTGAACTGAGTTAAAGTGTTCAATTAGCTCCTTATATAGGAGGTTCTGCCCGCCCGTCGCCAATTGGGGTGGTTCCCGGTGGAATTTTTTGATGAAATTTTTTGAGCATCTTCTTCATTAAGGCTAATTTACTCATACCAAATTTCATCTAAAAATTCAACCGGGAAGGCAGTCAAATGATTTTTGTTGAAGATAACCGTGAAGTTAAACAGCGCATTACATTTCAGAAAATCATTTGACTGCCTTCCCGGTTGAATTTTAAGCTGAAATTTAGTATGGATAAACTAGATTTAATGAAGAAGGTGCTCAAAAAATTTCATCAAAAAATTCCACCGGGAACCGCCCCAATTAGCGACGGCCGGGCAGAACCTCCTATATAAGGGGCTAATTGAACACTTTAAGTGAGCTCAAGGGCCTATTTGACCCTTTAGTCTTCTATAAAAGTACGTAGTAGTGTGTTGGTACTACCCTCTTCCCAATCTAATACTCTTTTGTCTCATTTTACTTGTCTCACTTTCTTTTATGAGTTGTCCTAAAATAAATATCTTATTTACTTTTTCGATAAGAAATATGTGATGCACAACGAATCACTTTATTATTCTGAAACTTCTATCGTAACTTTTACTTTTTCAACTACTCCGTATTTTTTAATAATTGTGTCAAACCAAACAAAACTCATAAAATGAGACTGATGTATAATTAGTGAAATATTACACTAAAACAAAAGGATTTAGAGCATGTTGTTCACACTATTTTTTTACTTATGAGTCATATGAGTCATCGTTTTCACTTAACAAGTAACCTCTAATTTTGCACACAGCATTTTTCACCCCCTTAAATAGATGCAATATGTTGAGTTTTACAATATTCACATGTTGTACTTTGACCATAATTTTTTTTTTGAAAAATTGTTAACCACATAGTAATAAGGAATGAAATATATCAATGAGGCGTGCATTGACAAGCGTAAAAAATGAAACATTGCAATTACAAAAGAACACATAAAGTAATTCATAAATAACATTCAATTCACTAAAGAGGATCATTCTAATATTATATTGTTTTCATATATTTTTCTTCCTTTTTTCTTTAAATGATTTAGCATCAATAACAATTCATTGATTCTGGCATAAATTCAAAAATGGCACTCCATTTTAAGTAAAGGATTTATTTAGTTGTTAAGAGCCCATTTGGTGAACCTTGTTTGCAATTATATACTTTGTATATTATCAATCTTATGAATTAACTTTCTCACCAAATATGCAACTTTTAATTAACTTCGACGCCGAACTGTGTAAGGTTGCTATTTCTTTTCTTATTGGACTACAGTTGTTGTAGAGGACCATTTCAACTATTTTTCATACGAAGTATGATCCCGCCGAAGTTGAAAATGTTACCAAATTGTATCAAATAGGTTCCAAATTTGTAGTAGCATGATCCTCATATGATACTATCATAGGTTCTTAATTATTTAGAAGCTGTGGGACTAAACAGGCCGCGGACAAATAGAAGTTCTTAAAAAAATGTCCAGCGAGCCCCATATCGTGATTCTACAATTGCATATTGCAGCAAATATATATACGAATGCTAATGGTTCTAAAACTCACTACGCAATAGTCAACACGTTAGGCAATAGTCGTGTGGTTGAGGGACGTGTAGTGTTTAGACGTCGACTAGGTGGGCGACTAAGTCAATTTTTCAGTCGACTAGCTAGTCCGATAATAGTTAGAGCGCCTAGCGTCTAGGCGTCGATTAGGTCCTCCAACCAGGTTTGAGGTACACATTTTTGTACACACTTACACACTCGTGTCTGTGAAGTGTTTTGTTTTGTCTGTATACAGACACAACTTATTTCACAGACACTTCAAATGCATTGTGTCTATATACAGACAAAAAAACCACTTCACAGACACAAGTATGTAAGTGTGTACAAAAAATGTGTAACAATAGTTTTTCCTCTACCCGCCTAGCACTAATGTTTATCATCATACACATGTCACGTACTGTGGTATGCCTCTGCTGGCGGCTTAATTGCTTTTGGTTACCTGTATACGGAGTAGTAATAGGTTACCTAGTACGTATTAATGTTTATATGTATATTATTGAGTGTTTGGGATTGATTAGTGAGGCCTGATTTAATTTTATACGTATATATAACAGTTAATGCATGTTACTCGATCTAGCTAGTTACCGTCCAGGCGTCCAGTTGGCAATCATTATTGATAATGCATGTGTTACGTTAGGGGATTAGATTCTTAATAGGCAATAGTTATCCAAAATGATGAGTTGTCCCTTGCGGCCATTTTTATTTTAGGTAAAATCCTACCTATCATTTCAGGTGCAATAGTACTTATAGCTTTGATATGTTGCATTCATCACTCGGATAATTAAATAGAGATGAGATGCATGCTTAAAACAGTCATGCATGTGCTTAGATGCATGTATTATTTGAGAATGTATAACATGCACCACACGTACTGTTGGATACCAATTCAAGCTATATTATATACGTAGTACATAGTAATAAGCTACTGTATATTATTTGGCACAACTAGCTGAAAAGATACTTTTATTAGCTTTTTAGTAATTGTTAGATTTTAGTGACTGAAAAGATTTTAAAAGCAAAATGTAGTAGTTGTTTGATAAAAACCTGACTATTTGATTTAGCTCTGTTTACCTGTTTGGTATACAATTGTTAGGACTAATTAATGCT